TGCAACAATTAAGGACATTTATAATAGTGTTCAGAGAGCACATTCACACTCTATCAACAATAAATAATACAGAAAACAATAATACTGAAAGTAAATGTATATAAACTAAACTAACAAAAATAACTACCCAAATATACACATACAATATCTTAAAAAAAATAAAAAATCATTCACTCAAGATCCCCGAGCCAAGCCTTTCTCCCCACTCGTGGAAGGAAAGGTGGGACTCGAGAAAATCCCAGCGCCTCTCACTCAGCTGCATTACTGGTATTAAGGGCTGATCAGAGGTGTTATAATCACACATACATGGCTTGAGTGGAGAATCAAAACTCCAATGTATATTATGTATACTTATTCACAAAAGCTCTCTGGGCTACTGCCGCTTCAACCTTCGAGGAGGATTGTAGGAATGGGTGGTTCTGGATGTGATTGTGCAAGGGGATATGGATGATAGGTAACGTTCTAGTGAAAATTTATGATCAATTATGATTTATGATGATATATGAAGATAGGTATGAATGTGTTTTTATGTTTTTAATTTACTTATCTTTAGGTTATTTAATATTTATTGTACATAGTTTTTGATTATTCTTTACTTATTATTCTACTTTTGTTAATTTTATAATTTCTGTATACATGGTGTGAATGCGTTCATATATCACTATAATTATTGTCCACGTGACAAATTATTATATTCCTAAATAAACAAATTTACAAAAACATTTTTTTGTTCTATGAGCATTATATTTTCAGTTTAATTTTTTTTTTTTTTTTTTTTGCAGTAACACCCATAAATTGGTTAATAATGATCAAATCATGAAAAGATTAAAGTCAGTTTCCAAAATGTAAAGAAACGATACTTTAAATGAAAATTTGTAAAATATTTGACTGGAAAACGAGTATGTATATATATATATATATATATATATATATATATATATATATATATATATATATATGTATATATATATATATATATATATATATATATATATATATATATATATATATATATATATATATATATTTCATATCCCTAACGAGTTATCCTTTAAATGGCGGACTGACGTTCGTGATATAGCTACAGTATCTGTTGTGGTTAGAGACGGTAGCTTAATCACAGGTTTCTTTTCCCAAAGTTAAGCTATTAAAAATGTAACCCGATCACCCTGCCGCTTCCACAGCTCTTGTAACTATGGTGGAACAATTACCCGCCCTAAGCGACTATGAAGATGCCCCACTCGTGAGTCAAGACGCCTTAACTCCATAACATCATCTATCAAGAGCTCCTCTAAACGTTTAGCCAGTGTTGCAACGTTATCCGTACACATATCTAATTCTTCCTCCACATTTAATGAAGCTATGATTTCGTCGAGTGTTTGAACGTTCTCAGTAAACGCTTTCACGAGTCTCTTCCTCACATTCCTAGTGTCGCCTATATCGGAAAGCCCCCGAATTTGAAGTTGATAAGCAAACTCGTCTTTTAGTAGCTTTGTCGTATTAATGTTACAAGCTGAAAGAGCAATACCTCCCTCTCTTTCATAGATATCTCTCTTAAATGCTGCTAAACCAATGTAACGTGTTTTTGAACATTAAAGGAATGATAAAATTATAATTGTATAATTATTAATTAATTATTTTTATAAGGGCTTACACAGTAGAGGGAGAGTGATCCCTTCCTTACAGGCTATTTCTTCTTTCCAGGTGATGTTCAATAATTGATAACTGATGCATAATAAGTAATTTTATTTACAATAGGAACAACTTTAACCAAAAATAATTAACAAAATTTCTCACAAAATAATCAAAGATCGTTTTCACTATATTTCACAACCCTCTTTTTTCAATTACTCAATTCCTTCTCAAAAAAAAGTCAAGTAGCTTCTCAAGCTTCTTAAGTACGCATTAAGCTTGCATAGCAGTTTTACCTTAAAATGCCCTTGGGCAATAAAAGATAATTAGAAATTATTGTATACATATTTCTTTATGTATTTATTTATTGTATTTTGTATAGTAAATAAATTCCTGGAGGGTAGGAAAAAAAAAATTATATCGTATTTGGGAAGTTAATCAAAAGCTATTCTTAACTGGTCATAGAAGGCTTCTTTCTTTTCTGTATTTTCTTCCGTGGGTGCATGCACACTTACTAGAGATATTAAGATTAAAGAATTTTCCCTCTAATCTTAATGTACATATTTTTTCATTGATAGCCTCAAATCCCAGAATAACGTGTTTAGTATTCCTTCTTATCATGAAGAAAGTTCCGAATACATTCTCTTCATGCCCAGTATTGATAATGATAAGAGACCGGATCTTCGAGCAATAAAAATCCGAAAAACGTGCTGTAAAAACCTCGAAATGTGCAAAATCGTACAGTAAAAATCCCAAATATGTAAAATTGCCTAATTTACAGATGAAACGTGTAAAAATCATCTATTTTATTTAATTTATAATATTAATACATCGAAATCCTACCAAACTTAATGTTAAGCTTCTGAATTAAAATGACACAAAAAAAATTAAAATGCACCATTGAAAATTAAAATCCATATTACAATTAACTAACGACAACAATACACAACCTCATACCACAATAAATTAAAATTAATCTAACTCTTGAAGAAAGAAAAATTTTAATAAAAAGAAGGACTAACATAAATAATAGAAAATTTAAAGATAATTCACAAAAAAAAAAAAAAAATACAAAAGGTCTCAATAATTAACAGACAAATAATTAAATACATTTGTTTAAGTGTCCCTTAAATTGGTTAATTGACTGGCACATACAAGAAATGGAGTGATGTAGGGGAACCTAAAAATGATTAAAGATATGAAGGATAAGTATATATTATAAATACCAGACCAATTGATTTAAGATATTTAATTTTAATTAAAAATAATATATGAACATACATAATTATAAATTGTCCACATTACAATAATAATCTTATTTTTTAATCGAGTTAAAATTTACAATATTATAGGTTTCGAAATTCGTTTATGAAAAATGTTTTTTTTCATTATTCAATAGGTCTTTTAATTGATAAAAATAGCGTTCAACATGAACTGATGTAAGGGGACTCATTTTTAACAACCACTGCTGCTTCTTTATCAACATAAACATTTATACCGTTAATGCAGTTATTAAATATATATACTTTTTTTTTAGTAACGTCGTAACCTGTATTTTTACTATTACACAGTAAAATATTCGAGATATGTTTTTTCCTATTCCTCTATTTATTTTTTAAAGATTTTCTCCAAAAGTTTCTATAATTTCAATTTGTTTATTAAGTGACAAATTTCGAGATTTGAGTTAAGTTAATGTTTGCGAAAAAATTTGACAAATGTGATTTCATGAAAGTCGAACCAGATATTACTCATGCCATTACTGTCTATATCCTCCTCAAATCTGCTGATAGTCACTCTCATGACAGGTGCAGATGAAGATCTGAGGAGAAAAAAGATAAATAAATGTTATTGATTCCGAATTCATGATAGTTAGAGATTCACTTCAGAGCCGAAAGGGGTACTGAGAAAAGAGTGAGAATTCGAGTCAAAACAAGGAAGGAAGTTTTTATTATTGAATTATTTCAGACAAGTTCTCTTCCATGAATAGTATACCTGCACTTGTGTTTACTTCGTCCTTTTGTAACGTTAAATTAGAATCTTTGCGCCACAGAATCATACAACTTCCTCATATTTTTCTTTCTTAAATTATAAATTTAATATGGACAATAAAATAAAGTAAATATAAAAGTAAATATTTACACACGAACATATATTTATATTTATAAATCATGTAAAAATGTGCAATTTAATGCGACAAAAATCAAAATCGTGCAATTTGAGCCAAAAATGGTATAACGTGCAATTTCGAGAAATATGAAATTTAAATATGTTATTCTAGGGATCCTGAAACGGATAGATATTTGGGTCGATCCTATATTTGCTTAGATAGTCTTCTAGAGTTTGACTCTTTCCTATTTGCAGAAGACTACGTACATTTCATGTTTCTAATTTTAATTTCCTGTCCGTTCCAGGTCATTTACCATTTATCAGTCCGAATCCGAGGTTCTTTGTTGTTTTTTAGCTTAATGTTTACACAGGTGGGTGTGCTGGCCCTACATTATGCACCATTTTGTCGCCTTTTACGATTGGCAGGAGATATCCTAGGCTTATTCTGATCCGAGCCTGGACAAAAAAAATGATTTATTTTACTTTTATTTATTTATTTTTTCTTCGCTTCCTCGCCTTTAAGGCTTCCACGGGCCAGGAGGGTGAGAGCGGAGATTAATGGAATAGAGATTAATACTACTGGCCCACAGTTCCTAACCATAATACTCGATTTCTTCATCCACAGCGGCTGTTACTATTAAGTATATATTGCAACTAACATTCGTCTATCATTTTCCTATAAATAAATATCGCCCAAATTTATTCATTAGACAAATAGAAATTTTGTTTTACTTTTTACATTTTATTTTACTTTATTTATTTCATTTTATACTACTGAAGGTAGAGGAGCATTTTAGAGGCTAAAAAAAATTTGATGATCAGAATCGAAAATTTCCACTCGCGTTTTACGATTCAGACAAGGATCAAATTTGGTACGGCGTCTGTCTGTCTGTAGTCAAATCGATGTGACGGGCATACCACCTACTAACTTTCATCCGACTATCATGAAATTTTCAGAAGTATGCGGGTTGATATCTAGATGGTCCCATATCAATTTTTCCAATTCAACCCACCACTTCCGCTTGCGCACGCGTAAATGTATTTTCATAGATATGCTAAATATTCTAAATATTGTGTTCTTCTCTAAAACACTCGTACATCTTCAGTATATACTACGATTTTTTATTTAATCATGACTCATGACGTGAGACCAGCATTAGTTTGTTACCTTCTAGATTGCTCCTGCAACTTGTTTAGGTAAGCGCCTGTAAGCTGTCAAGGCCCATACTTATCTCTTGGGATAAAATCGTCGCCCTGACAAGATGGATCTGGAAGAACTTGAGCGTTCAGCAGGCACCCTTCCGGTACCAGGATCTTCACAGGGAGCCGTTGGGAAGCTGAAGAACACGAACAGTGATTCGACATTACCAAAGAAAGTGTGTCGGGTTGCGAATTCAACACTGAACTTTTCCGTAAATACGATAAATACTTTCTCGATTTTAAGTAGTAGTGTTGATGAAAAAAGTGAAAGTGCACCCGAGAATACTCAAACTGCTCCGGCATCTCAAAACAAAGAAAAGAAAAAATCCTCCCCCCATTGTGGTCAGTGGCGTTTCAGGCAGCACAAGCAGTCGTGGACCCAAAGGCCGCTGGTTTCCACTCTTTTGAAATCCAAAAAATCAAGGATGGAGTTAAGATCTTTCCAAGAATCTTGGAGGTCCATTCTGGCATTAAAGAATATCTAGGCCGGGCAGGAAGCCAATTTCATACTTACGCAACTGAAAATAGAACGCCTGTCCAGAATTTCGTGATCTATGGTCTGGATGTAGACTACAATATAGATGAGGTCAAGTTATGTCTGCACCAGCAACTAAAGGGAGTGCTTGACGTCCGCCGACTACGGAAGAGTGACAAGGATGGAAGGAAGGCGGATCTTCCTATTATCTTGATAACAACAAGCATCGATTTTAACATCAAAGACTTATTAGCGATACAACACATCAACAGAATAGGTTTTACCGCTAAGCCTTATAATGGACGAAGAGGCATCGTCCAATGTCACAGATGTCAGCAGTTCGGTCACACAAAAGATCATTGTGGAACAGTGGTTTGTGTTCGTTGTGCTGGCCCTCATCTCATTGAACACTGCCCCAGGACGACCACACCAGTTAAGCGCGTTAACTGCAGTGAGGAACATGTTGCATCGTTCTCTGGGTGCAAAGTGCGGCAAGTGTTCCAGGAAAAGCTTTAATAATTAAAAGAAAGAATTGGACTGATGAAGCCCACCGTAACATCAACTAGGACTAAACAATCCACCCAATTAGGACCCAATCCGTCAACAAGCCAACCAACAACAGACTGGACTCACCCCTCTTCCCGCCGAACCCAACAAACAACCGAACGGACATACGCAAACATAGCTCGCCAAGATGCCATTCCTCCATGAGTATAAAACATCATGACGAGCATAAAACATCGACAGACTCTATAAACAAACTCCTTAACTTATAAGCGGGAATGATGACAAAATGAACACACCACTGACAGTACTAAATTTCAACACAGATGGACTGATGCCCAAGATAACGGAGATATATGCCTTGATAGCACAGACCCAGCCCACCGTAGTAGTCCTGACAGATACTAGAATAAATTTCCAGCGCATACGACTACCAGGTTACGATCTAACAGGAGATCAAACAACACAGAACGTAGGAGGAGTCCTAATAGCTATACGCCACGGAATCATGTGGAGGGAACTCTCACCACCAATAGATATTAAGGACCCCAGAATACATCAAAAAACAGTGCAGGTTCTCTTGGGTAAGCCTCCCATCATCACAGGGCTATACAGGAGGCCTATGGGTTCCTTAATCGAATTTTGCCAGATTTTACAAGAGTGTGCTAAGAGGACCAATCATTGGATAATAGGTGACCTAAACGCCTGGCACACTCTATGGAACAACAATAAAATAACGAAAGCTGGGAAACTAATACCGAAGACCCCTTATACAGTGGTTCATCCAAATACCCACACATTCAGAAACAGGGCTAATACAGCTTTTACCTCAACTGTTGATCTCCTGCTCACTAGACAGCCACACTCTTTTATCGACTGTACTACGCTGGATTTTATAACATCCGATCATAGACCTGTTCTTTACCTGATTGACTGCGAAGCTCCAGCACCACCACCTACAAAATACAAGTAAACTGAAGCCGATTGGGAGTTATATAAGGTACAGGTCTTTCAAGAGTTGCCCACTGTCCCTGTTCACCGCTCAAGAAATAATATTGACAACTACCTGGAATTCTTCGCGACGAACATCAGACATGCAGCCGACATAGCCATACCGAAGTTCACGCCACTTCTGCCAGCTCTACGTCCCCTTCCAGATCATATTCTGAAACTTATTGACTTGCGTAATAAGTGGAAGAATAAATGGTACAAGACCAGAGATCATGACGTGAAGTCGGTGGTAAATTCCCTTACCACTCAGATTCACAACCTCATGAAACAATGGGGGACTGCACAGTGGCATGAGAAGCTACGGTCCACGCATGGAGATTACAAGAAATTTTGGACGACAACATTCATTTAACACCAGAATAACAGGCGGCTAAATTTGCTGATTTCTATGGTGATAATATAACCAGAAGAACCGGGACTTTAACCGCTCTTCCAGTGGAAGATATCGGGAGCAATTACATGTTTGTATCCCCAAAACAAATAAAGGCCATACTCCGTCGTTCGAAGGGAAACAAAGCTCCCGGCCACGATGGAATACAAACCATATTACTAAAACAATTACCAAGAAGAGGAATAGCTCACATGACAAATCTTTACAACTCCTGCCTCAGGTTGAGGTACTTCCCTGATGCATGGAAACAAGCTATCTTCTTCCCGCTACTGAAACCCGCGAAGAAGGGATCCCAGACTTCTATGTAAGACATTCTTGGATAACGAGTTTCGGGAGCAGCTCTTTACAGTCTTGCGATCGTTTCTGCAGCGACGTTCAATTAAGGTACAGGTCGGTGAAACTGTTTCTAGTAACATCCCACTCACCTGCGGAGTCCCCCAAGGGTCTGTGCTATCCCCCAGTACTATTTTCAATTTATACTGCTGAAACTGTTGGAGCAACGTACAAGAAAGCAACTGTAGCGGCATACGCCGCTATCTACAGTAGCTCAATCAGCGCAGAGACAGCTCTACGGCAGGCGGAGGAGGCATGTGAAAAAATTACTCGCAAACTGAAAGGGCTAAATATTGCAGTCAACCAAAAGAAGACAGACTGCATTATTTTCTCCTTTCAAAAGAACAAGCGGCCTCTCCCTAAGGTCTATAAGGTAGCGGGTAGTGAGAACAGACCGGCGAGCAGTATAGTGTACCTAGGTGCTACCCTCGATATGCACCTACACTGGCTCGCCACTGTAATAAGAAATTGAAATAGGTAAGGACCAAGGCTCAACCATCTGTTGAATTCTCGTAACTTATCCCTCCGCCTCAAATTAACAATATACAAGAGCATTTTAAGACCGGCACTCCTTTATGGAGCACCACTCCTAACCAATGTATCACCGGCAATATCGAAAAAGCTCCAACAGTTTCAGAACGGTGTGCTAAGAAAAATAGTGAGACACACGATTTTACAAAAAACACGTACGGACCTACTACATACCACCCTCGAATTACCGAAGGTGGGCGACTTTATTACACGCAGGCATACCAAATTTTTTGATAGCCTCAAATACTCGACAAACCCACTTTTTAAAACAATTACTCCACTTACTAACAAACCTATGAGATTGCAGACATATATTAAAAATGTATTACTAGACTGAAAAATTGACATTTACAGGACACTAGTGAGCCTCGTCACTAGACTAAGACGAACCATAACTATGAACAACCAGAGTACTCCCAATTCTTTATCCTCCTCTTAAAATGCACTCTGTGCATTACTAGAGTTCATGTTTAAGCCTCGTACTACCACCCTATTCTCAACACCACATCATATGGGGTTAAGAAAAAAAAAATGATTTTCTATTGTCACTGTACCTATTATTTTTAAATGTTGACAGTAGTTTTTGAAGTTTTTAGCCTTGTCAGCTAAAAGTTATTTTATGTGATGGGTATTCAGTTCATTGCCTTAGAACTCTGACTCTGCGTTTTTATTTATGAGATTAAGAATAAACAGAGGCAGGAATGTATCAGATTTGGTTGATGACTCGTTATAGTCGAATGCCACACCGCATTATGTATACATTATATAAAGTCATTTACTGCATTGTCAAGTTCGTCGACTGTAGTAATGGAAGTATTTAGCATAATTTTGTTAATTAATTTTTAAAGTTTTTTTTTATTTAACGCCTCTGCCGATGGCTATTAGGCCATTGTGCAATAACGGATTTCTCCAATTTGTTGATTCCAGTGCTTATATTTGTGCCCATCCCATCAGAAAGATTACTTCGGACATCTGACAGAGCGGGGTATACTGGGAGGTGCAGGTCGTACATCTCATCCTCTTGGCAAAGAGGGTACACAGGACTTTCAATCAATCCAATCCTATGCAAATGTCTTTGTAGGTTCTCATGTCCAGTTGTCATACGGAAATTAGTCACCGATTCTTTTCTATTTTTTGTTTCATTCCTTGGGCGCTATGTTAAAGATTCACATTTTTTCCCTGGTTCCTGTTGCTTTTGGCATTTCTTGTTCTCATCCTTGTAAAAGTCATCCTCATCCTTTTAAAATCGTTCGTCCGTGATGGGTGAAAGTGTTATGGCGTCAAATGATCAACTTTGAGTATAGCGGGATCGGTTTAAATCCTGCTTGGGGGAGTAAAAATTAATTTTCTGGCGGACTAACGGAATTGAGCTCGATCTGCCCATTTAGTTGGGACTCACATGACCGCACCGCGTCCGGCGGTATCTCAGTACTGTTTCAGTGAAATCACTATGGCCGTAGCTGTTCTCCCTTGTTTGTTTAAAATAATCTAAGTTTATACTTAAATCTTATTGAGTTCTTAATTTTTACTATGCAGGATTGTCCAAAACATATCTAAAATGTGATTTTGTCATACAGAATCCGAAATTTTCAAAATTCTTGTATTAACTATTCAATTAACATTTGTAAGGCACAGCCACACAGCACCAACACTGTCAAAAAGGAAACCAAACTTAACTGCCCTGGTTCTGGCATGATGCATCAATGCTAAGTAACCTTTTATCTTGGCGAAGGCGAGGGTAGGTAGGAGGACAGACGAATCCTTAATAGAGAGAGTTCAAGAATATCTATTGCAGAGGTTTAAATGGAAAAAGTAGTTCAGCTTCATTTATTATGCTACACTCGCCAAAACCCATGTTGCTGCAAGGCATGGTTTAAATAAATAAAATATTATGTAAAACTATAGTTTCACTGTCATCCATATTTTCCACATTGATATTGGTTGCATGACCTTAGAGTATAACATCTATGATAAACTGAGCTTATAATATAATTAATTTTGCTATAAGCGCCGTGTGTTAGATATTTCAGTGATTTCCTGAAATATTATGGTTATAACTTTCTAAATAGTATTAGTTCATAAATACAGATGTACGAAGTACAAACGCTAATACTTTTTGTTTCATAATAGAAACTACACGATTAATACTATAAGTCATATCATACGGTTTAAAAAGTACAAGTAACACTGCGGGAAGGTTCTTTTTATAGTTAATCTACTTAGAGGTTATAACGTACTTA